GCCGGGCGCGCGCACTTCTGCGCCCAGGCGCGGGGCGCTTACCATGGAACATGGTCTGCGGGACGCGGGCGTGGTCATGATGACCGCAGCTGCAGCAGGAGCAGGCTCTCACCGCCCATGGTCACTCCCAGGACCCTGGTCTTCGCGGAGGTGCCGGGAGTCGGTGCGGGCGGGCCGCCTTCGCCGCTGGTTCCTCTCACCCACGCCGCGCCTGCTGCTTCATCCATCCCAGGGGGGGGCGGCACACACCACGGCCCGGCTCAGCGCTTTGCCTTTCCCATAACTTCCGTAGGATCCGCGGCCAAGTACTTTCAGTTTCTACTTTGCGCCGGGTCTGCAGGTTCGATCTTTGCGTTCATCACCGGGCGCCTTCTCCACCCCCCTCTCCTGTGCACCTGCGTCCTCCCCTAGCGCTTCCTGTGCACCTGGAGAGGGCGCGGGTTTCCTAAGCGCCACGGGAAGGCCCAGCCGGCCTCCTGAATCAGCGATTCCAGGCGAAAGGCTTTCCAGATGACCTCTAACCACCTTGGCAAAGCTCGGCCCCTGGGATCCAAAAGCATCTGTTGCTAATGTGTCCACCGAAGCGACAGCAGTGTGGGGCGAAAGCTGGGTTATTGCGAGCGGCTCTTGCCGCGCGGATGTGGTGGACCATGCCAAGCCGTCTTGTGAGAAAAGGAAGTAAGACTGATTCAGAGGGTCACGCCCTCAGCCCCTCGAACCCCTCTGATCTGCTTGTTCCGCTCTGTCTTACATGCACCTGCCCAGGTGAGATCGCACAGAAAACTAATGCTGTGGGTCCACCTCCTCGGGGGAAGTGGTATCTTTGGACACGAAAATCAAAGCCCAGATTAGGCGAAGGAAATGGAGACTTACTATCACAGGAACTGTGACCCTCATGTGCGCGTTTATCTGAATTGGCTACCAAGTCACTCTATCCATTTTGACTGTGTTACCGAGGAGTTGACTTTCTTTTCCAGGCCTGAATTATTCAGGTATTTCCTGTTGTAGTTTGGTTTCAGATACTGTGCAGAAACCCTGCTTAAATGAAGGTTGGCAACGTAATGCAGCAACGGTGATACAAGAATGGCTGACGTTCATCTAGTTTGCTCTGCACTAGTACTGCGCTCAGCATTTTGCATATGTCCTCTCATGCAAATTTTTCTATGAGTTAGTTTTCTTATCTGCGCTTCACAGATGTGGGAACTGCGACTTCCTTCGTGTCAGTTGGAGTTCACGTAGCTAGTTGGCCACAAGGCCGGGACACAAAGCTGCCCCACATGGCGGAGCCCCTATGATGGAAGTCTTGACCAATCATGTACAAATGGATGCCGGGAGGGGACAGGGTCCTGCATCACGTGGGCGTGTCTTTGCCTCAGTGTGGGGACCTCAGGAAAGGTTTCTGGAGATGGTGAATCCTGAATTGAGACCCAAGCAGGAGTGAGGCAGGGGATGGGAGCCTTCCAGGTTCTGTCCTGGCAAGAAGGAAGCAACGCGGGGAAAGGGGAGGGAGAAAGGGAAAAGAGCAATGAGAGAGGGAGAGAGAGAGACCTCGCTCAAGCCTGCAGCTTGGATCCTGCTTCCTCTTTCAGTCTCGCTTCCCACAGCCAGAGCCTGGGCCGGTCCTGTCAGCTCTGCCTCTAAAATAAATCCCAAAGCCAGTCTGGCCACTCTGTGGATCGCCTGTGGGCCAGCCACTGCAAGCCTGCAGTCAGAGGTCGCCGCTTTCACTCTGGCCCACACCCCCTCTCCTCCTGGCAGCAGGGTATCCAGAGTCACCCTTGTCGCCGCGGGGACCACCCTCTGGCCACTTCCCGCGGCGTCCCAGGCCTGCCCGGCCGTGTGTGCCCCGGGCCCTGCACCCCTCTCCGACCCTCTCTGGTGCTCCAGCCACACTGGCCTGTCTCTCCCCGGCCCAGCCAGGCTGCCTTCCCCTCTAGAACAGTATCTAGAGCACAGCCATTCAGACCACTGCGAAGTGACAGAATGAGGGGACCGACGGAGGGAGAGAACGTGCATGAGAACAGCGTGCGAGAGAGGCAGGACGTGAGGGCAAATGCAAGCGGGCGTGAGCGCGGGAAGCGAATCAGAGCAGGAGACAGAACGGGGTGGGCAGAGCCCCGTGTTTCCCTGTGACTGGAATCTGGAGTGGGAGGTGGGGCGTGGGGAAACAGGAGGCTGCAGGGACTTCAAAGGAAACTCGGTAACTAAACACACTTCGGCTGGTTATACTCCTATGAGTATATTTACTGGAAACCCCAGACAGCAGTATTGAGGTGTACAAATTGCACACGTTTTTTTTTTTTTTTTACTTTTCAGAGGCAGATAAAAGAGCATCCATCGATAACGTCCTCAAGAGGAAACCTGCCTTTTTCATACAATCACCATAACACTTGGCAGAACAGGGGCTTGTGCATAAGTGAACTTTCTGGAAGCATGCGGGGAAATTATTCAGAGCTCTAGAAGAGTAGGACACTCCTCCCTGGCCTCTGACCCCAAATGTGGAGGATCGCTCTTAAGAAAATACTCATGAAGGATTTGGGATTTTTATTGTTATATGAAAATGGGCACATTCTCACTACATCAAGTTGTTACGTTTCTGTCTATGAGAGGATGAATACCATTTGGAAAAAATTCCAAAATGAAGTCTTAAATTAGTGGTTGATATTTCGATACACTGAACATTATTTTTCATAAGATAGCTGGACCAGGAGAAAATCTTTTATGAATTTTTATACGCTGATGTTCTATAATTAGAGAAATGCAATAGTTACTATTATGTTTACTCATAGACTCAATGAGCTATGCAGAAAAGTCAACATGGAAACAACAGAATTTAAAGTTCATAAATTATAGCCAATAAATATTAAGAAGGGAAGACAACATTCTCAGAATAATTAATACAATGTAATAGAAAAAATTGAAATAAGATATGAAAGTCAACTTCAAGAAAGAATTGTTAAAGGTTAACCAGTGTCTTGTTACACATTCAACAGTCTTCAGGCAAAAGTCAATTATTGATAACCTGAAATGATTTTCTTATTTTATCATCTGAGCTATTTTTACCCAAGTTAATATGACTATTCTTTATAGTCTGAGATTGTTCTGTCTCTGGATATTTTTCTAAAGTTCCTATGACTTAATTTTCCAGGCATAATATTCAACATATTTCAGGCAGGCACACACTCACACTCACACACACACACACACACACACACATTCGACTTTTTAATGGGCATGTGGTCTGTGCAGTCACACAGAGGCCTGTGCTTAGAAAGGCTCCATGCTGGGTTTAATGCTCTGATGTCACTGTCTTGAAATTCTTTATTATTTTTGGACAAGGGGACTCTCATTTTCACTTTTTACTGGGCGCTCGCAAATTCCATCACTGGTCATGTACACACACTAGGCTACACTTTGTAGACAGCAATGCACATCTTCAAGGTGGTTTCAGTCTGGTGGGGAAAACAGATGTTAAGTGTGTAATTTCAACGGTAAATATTATTATGAAAAGGAAAGAACAAGATGTAATTTCAAACCATGGATTTAAGGCAATCTAGACAGACCTATTTGAAAAATTAGTGAATCTAGGGTCCTGAAGAGGGTAATTTACCAGTCCAGTGGGGAAACAGCTATCGATGGATAACCTATCATTTAAATCATATCTGTTTGATTTTCAAGCCTGACCTTGAGGATGAATTTTGTTTTATCAAATGACTACTGAGCATCTATTTACACGGTCATGTTTTTTCTTGCTGCATTCCCAAATAAACCACAAATTGACCATAATGCTAAATTCAAGTTGCTACTATTTAACTCAGACTTTTGCAGTTATATGCATAATTGGTATATGTTTCTTCTTCACATTATATTCAACTGAGCGTCGGCTATTTTTGTCACTTTTTCTTAGCTTCATAAAGGGTTTTGGGAATTGTTTTCTAGAAATCGTAACTGTTTAAGCACTATATAAACTATTTGTGGACGGTTGGCTGGAGTTCAACACTAAAGCATGCTTAGTTTCATGCGATGAAGCTCAGGGATAGGACGAGACTGCCAGTTTAGAGCATTATAAGAGTGAATATAAAAAGGGTTTTTTTGAAGGCTGAATTCAAAATGGCCACATCAAAATATCAAGACCCCTGCTGGAAACGTGCATGTCAGCATATTTATTGATGATTATTTGGGCCATGGAAATGAATGAAATTACCCAACCTGCAACTTAGGAGAGAGAAGAGGGACAGACCTAACGCTGGGAAGAACCTTGAGACATGAACACTGGGGCAGATGGAGAAACGGGTGCCCACCTGCAAAATGATGCACAGTGGGCAGCAAAGTGGGAAAGACAGAAGTCAGTGTCCCAGAAAGCAGAGGAGGCCAGAATTTGCAACTACAAGTAGATTAAGTAGTTGTCACTTCCAGTTGTCCCAAAGAGATTGAACAAGACTGAAAAGAGGGTCCGTGGAATTTGGCAGAGGGGAAAATGTTGATGGCCCTCATGACAACAGTTTGAGAAAAGTGTAGATTGAACCAACATCCCAGTTTGTGGGGCATAAATGAAGATGCAAATAAAGGGAGAGGACACAACTTTTTAAAGATGTCTGGTAAAGATGAAAGGATGAGGATAATGGTTTGAAAGGCACGCAAAGCATCATGGAAGTTTCCATTTTCATGTATGAGAGGTACTAGCCCATAATTGTTAAAATTATGATAAAAGTAGGTTCTTCTGAAGAAGTAGGAAAGGATGGATCCAAGAAATCCAAGACATCTGACTTATTGTTTTTCTTACACTCCCTTCATTTCTCTCTCCTCTTTCATTTCAGTCCTTACATTCTGTAATTCTAAACAATCAGAATCCACTGTATCTCTGGGCCTACATATATGTCCCTTATTGAAATGTTCCAAGTAGCACTCTCTTGTTGTCTTCTGGACTGAGTATTGGCTAGTCGAAGAGAAAAACGTTTCCCAAATTACCTTGCCAAGGGAGCAACTGGAGCTTAATGTAGTTTGCATGGTCCAATCCTTTTGTACCTTAATGGATATATTATTGGCAATCATAGAGGTATCATTTATATACTAAATTTTGGACGGATTATGCTTTGGACAATCACACCTATGACAGTTTTCTTCATGCAAATTATTTGAAGACAATGGGAAAAATATGTTCCTTTCTTGCCTTCAAGTCCCTGGACAGATTCCTTTAGTATCATTCAGATACTATGTGAAGATGTTGAGTTGTTCTTATGAGCTTTGGGACAACCGTGGTCATGTCTTATTCAACTTGGAATTCTCTGAAGTCAACAGAATTCCTTTCATGACACAGATGGTGACTTGTGGAAAAGGCAGAAGTCAGAATGCACACAGGTTTTGTCTTGTCCTCACAGACAACCAACCGGTGCTTCCGATGAACCTGCAATAACATCCAGGAACATTATAAAACCAACTACTGACTGACCTTGATATGCCTAAGGTTCTGGTGAGCTTGTCAGAAGTCTCCTGCTTAATAGATTTAGACTTCTGCTTTAAAAAAAATATGGAAGGCTGTGTGACCTATTTAAGTATTTTTATTGTTATATTAGAAAATTAGCCCCATTTGCCTCTCCTTCAGGCAAGCCAGCTTTGCTTCAGCACCTTGTAACTGCCTTGGACGTGACTCTCAGAACATCCATTGACTTGTATATGATGCAGGATGATTAAGTGTATTGTAACAGTAATGAAATCAATAAGCAATCATCTAAAAAGATCTGGTACTTTCCTGAGCTCCTAGGGTACCAGTCAAGGCTCCGTGCCAGAGCTATGTCAATTAGCTGGCATCCTACACCTAGAACTACCATTAACGTGCCTGCCCTAAGTTTTAATATATTAGCTGGCAGTGGCAGGTACACCTCCATGAGAAGAGCTCAAAAATGGAAGTTTTTCAGGAGACTGAAACAGACAGCTATCGAGTTTGGCGTATCAGACAAAGTCGAATGTCATGTGTTTCTTGAGTAGCATGCCCCATGAAATGGAGGCTGCACGCCTTGATTCCCTTGTTTCTTCTACTATGTTCAAAGTTCTCCCTAATGTTTCACCAACAAATCTTCTAATCATGTCTTCCTAATGTCATTAGATTTTTTTTTCTGACCAACACTCCTTTTTCTGATCTGTCCTGGGTAAGACATTGTTTTTATCAGTGAAATGTCATGTTTTCTGTTTCTTTTTATTTCCCTCCTTTCAAAATGGTATTTTGTGTCATTTCTAGTCTACGAGCCCTCCAAACATTTATTCAGATTAGAAAAGTTAGGCTCCTTTGATTCTAATTTCAAAATAACCCACTGTATAACCTTTCTTAATCTAAAGTAAACTTTATGAAATTATTGTTGCTTACTGAATTCAGATATGTCCTTATGTATTAAGCTATTTGAACTTATTTTTTAAGCTTTTCAGTATGTATATCTTCACTCTAAGTGGCATACCATGAAACCTAGCCAAAAAGCAAGACAAAAACTAATATTGTGTGTACTGGTGCATTGATCATTCAAGAATGATCCTCTGAGATCAGAGGTTTTGCAGACATCCTCCAATAAGAGACATATTTAAATAAGTGACTTTAAAGTAAAATCCAAAAAGAATGAAAACAAAACAGCAAAATTGAGGACTTTCAAGAGCCACATGGACCACTATGAAAGGGCAAGAAAAATCAGAGACCCAACAAAATCTCAGGAGGCTGAATCTAGCAAAGTGCCAGGAGATGTGGAATAGA